GAATTGATGATCCTGATGAATATGTAGTCCTGTAGAAAGCTCGTTTCACCTCCAACAGTTATAGACACTGTACATTGTAGGAAAATCAGCCGGCTTTTGAGAGCGTACGTTCCTAATGTTAAGTTATAAGAGGTAACTGGGCTGAGCATGAAAGGGGACAGAATACCACTTTCTTCGTCTACAAAGCCAGTCTTCCATGTTAGCAGTTGTCTCTCAGACTTGCACTGGTGTTGYAAATGAGCTTGGAAAACAGGCAATGAGCTCTTAAGGAGAGTTAGTGTTTTTGAATCGTGGTCGGTCATTGGTAGTATATTGAGGTCAGGTGATGGACATGCCCTGCTTTCTGAAACGATCCCAATAAACATCATACACATCAACGTGTTATTTTTTCTTATATTTTTTTGTTAAAAGCAATGCCAAGCTACAAGCCGCTAGCGATAACAGCCACGAGGCAAACTAAGGCGATTACGCATGCGCAAATCACAYACCGCTGGCCAGCACTCCACTCAAGTTAACTTTGCTTAAATATTAACCACATTTAAAATTTACTTACTTGGATATTTTATCTTGAAAAACTCTCTTTCAAAAAGATCGCTTTTACGAATTTCTTCTTTGAGCTTCGCTACAAGGTACCAAATACTCGACTCAATGCAGTATATGTCAAGCTCCACTGCTACAAGAGTTHCACTGGTGGTCACACTTTCCTGTGGACTTCGAAAAAGACAAATCAAACAAATTAATTCCTGTCAACGTCTGTCCAAACTTTCATGTGTACATTTATTATAGAAACTTTAATGAAATATCAGTGATATCTTTAACAATGTGAAAATAACACTTCACCATGGATACTTCATGAAACATTGACCTAAATCTTCTCTTATATATAGATAAAAAATTGAGTTTATATATGTGTGATACTTTGAATTGGCCTTGATATTTTCTTTGTTTTTGATCTAAGTTGCATGTAGCATGTAGCCTACCTAAATCTTTTGAAGACAAAGTCCAAAAATCCAGGAATTTGATCTGCAAATCCATTCACCTGTAAAGAAAAAAAAAACAAACAAAAAGCCATCCATTACTATAATGAACGTAGAGCTAGTTATTAGATTAAATCCAACGTCACCTCTCGAAAGACTTCTTCTTTTGCAACTTTGTACTCAAAGCTCTTACTGCTTCGTAATGCCATTGTGAAAGCTCGTTTATCAAGCAACATATATATCGTGAAATAAAAATCTACAAAAGGAACAATGTATGTTAATTCTTTTTTTTTATTATTATTATTATTTCTTTCAGAATTATGTTTTATTTTTAGTTATCTTTTTTATTAATTTCCTTTTTACAGGGAGCATGGTAATTATCAGAAATTGTTTTGAAAGCAGGACGCCTGCTATGGAGTCTACATGTGATTACTACATGTGCAATATAACTATTAACCCACTATTAGTTGCCGCGTATATATCTACAGGTAATACATACCCTGMTTGCATCCGTATAATTCCAATCTAAGCCCTACATTATTGTGCCATTGTAATGGTATGAACATGATAGTGGACGCTACTACTGGAAAGGGTAAATCCATCTTTTGAACCGAGTCCCTGTCCTTGTTACCTAAAAATTTCTAGCGAAAAAAGTTAAAACTTAAAGTTAACCAGGAGTCTTTAGTGTCTCTCGCGCATAGTCCATATTACAAGCCCGCCATTTTGAATAGGTTTGCAATGTGTCCTGGGATCACTGGAAAAAATCGCGCGCCATAAAGGTTGTAAATTTGATGTAAATATGATGTAAGTATCAATTTTACATCATTTTGGACACTTACATCATATATACATCAAATTTACAACCTTTAAAGCACGCGATTTTTTCCAGTGGATATAAATCTTATCCATCAAAGAAACAAATAAAAAAATAGATAAACACTATAAGAAGGAATATTTACTTAACCTATTCCTAGGCCTAGTGTCGATATTAAATGGAGAGATGTTACAAAAACCATCTGAGAGTCATACTGTACAAATAGAATTGCAAAGTACCAAAAGCAAAGGGACGCCMGCMGGACGAAGAAATAAAACTGAKCTGTAAAAATACCCKTTCGCGGGTRCTGGCRTACTATTATTATTATTGWCKATATTACACTGTTCTAGTTCCCTCAAGGCAATCAAAGCGATGGAAAACGTTCTTTGTGGAGATTGGGACGATTSGATAGTWTATATTGACATGCCAGACTTCGTGTTTCCATATTCATATAAATTCTTATTCAACATATTTACAGCCTTTTGCAAAAATTGTGAGAATTGTCGAAATATCTAAATATCATAATATCAATTGCATGATGGGTAATCCCGCACGATTCCCTTTGTCCTTTGTCTTTGTAGTTTAGTTTTTTTTTTGGCGACGGACTTATCCGTAGTTCTGAACATTTTCTCGTTGTCAACAATGAATTATTCTAGCAAACCTGCATGTTCGGGACAAAGGGCTGCGCGCGGGATTACCCATCATGCACTTGATATTATGATATTTCGATATTTCGACAATTCTCATAATTTTTGCAAAAGGCTGTATATCGAGCAAATATTGTCCAATGAGGTGTATAGATGTGCATATATACTTTCTGGATGAATATACGCATTTCAAAATTGAAGGGTATCAAACTCTAGAAGCAACTTACAGCATATTTACTTTTCAAATCACGCACTGGTTTAAAAGCACTTCCATTCTTTGAATATAGCAAACTGAATTGCGTGACCCACTCTTTGACCGTTGCGTTACCATATCCTTGGACAGCTATTCCCGTAACAATTACACCATGCCCTAGTCCAATAGAAATCCACGAAGTTYTTGGTGCCTTTATGTCTCCACGGTATCCCTGTGGTGAATGGAGGCGTGCGAGCTGGGCACCATARTTTGCGGTGTCATTATTAAAGGTTGGTCCGGATATTAAACTAGTGTTTWGTATATCGCCATTTTGCATTCCCAGTGGTTGGTTGCATTTTGTATCTGAGGAGTCAAAATATACTTTATTTGGAAGACAAAACACGGGATTGAGATAAAAAATAGTTACTAATCGAATATATATACATTAAATATGATTAGCTTCACGATCTATAGTCACGTTTTTCACATTTCTTGATGTATATGAAAATACTTCAATTTTTATATATAGATGATGTTACATGGGCGGGCGGGAGATACGGATGCAGTATCACCAAGCGACCATGTAATATTCTGTTCTTACCATCAAATAATTACATATGAAAGCAAATTGTGTCGCAAAATACCTTTTTTCTTACTTCCAATATATAGAGAAACATTGAATGTGTTAATTTCACTTTACGAAAGAGAGACATATAGGTCAAATTTTATAGATAAATATGATATATGTAACTTATTATATTTTATCTTGAAGTTTTTAGCAAATATTCTTAGTCTTATGTTGGATTTTAATGAGCAATATAAAATATTCCCGTCCGACCTTTATGGGCTCTAAACCTGATCCCTTGCAGCTCGTAGTTTTAAATGCCCGGCCTTTAATATGTTGCAGTGGATTTCCCTTGGAAAACACCTTTCTAAAGGGCGTTAAAGTCAGTGATAGGAAACACTTGAAATACCTTTATTAAATATACACAAACATGAATCCAGCAAATTGGGCCCCAATTTTAGTATAAACATCAAGAAATTATATATATGATACATCTAAGTAGTGTCACTCTTTTATGAAATCGGTGTATATTTCGTGTATAACAATATGATAAACAAAATTTTATCCTCTCTCGTGCTGAAAATCTCTAACTCGTTCGCTACGCTCACGCAAGAGATATTTTATTAACACTTGAAGATAAAATTCGCATCTCTGCGAGCCCATGCAATATCCTTTATACATTCCCAACTGGATCGAAGGAAATAAAAAGCTAAAAATAAATTCGTTTGCACAAAGGCACGTCTTCCACACTTTGGGGTGAAATAATTACCTTCAAGTTAATTCGCAGCAGTAATATAAAAATGAAATTTCCGACATTTCCACAGCAGGACATTTTGGATAGTCAAAAAAAAAAAAAAAAAAAATGCAAATATCTGCGAGCTAATATAAAATTCGAAAAAAAAAAAAAAAAAAAAAACATTCAAAATATTCCACGACTTTTTTAAAAAAAAAAAAAAAAAAAAAATGCGATTTTCAAGGACTATTTCTAAATATAAAAAAAAAAAAAAAAAAAATGGACGTTTCCAGAAGCGATAAAAAAGTAAGAAAAAAAAAAAAAAAAAAATCCACATTTCAATCCAAAAGCTAACAAGCAAAAAAAAAAAAAAAAAAAAATTAGCGATTTTTCTATTTTCAAGGGCTTTTCAAAAAAAAAAAAAAAAAAATTTTCAATTCCAGGACTTTTCAAGGATTAGCACGAACCCATTAAATTGACAGTGTACACTAACTAAGTACACTAACTAATCAAAAAAAAAAAAAAAAAAAGAAACATAATCAGTGATGTCTACAGCAGAACAAAAAAAAAAAAAAAAAAAAAAAAAAGAAGAATAAAACACTAATAGTATAAAAAAAAAAAAAAAAAAAATCCAATTTACCGAAAAAACCCTATATTTTGAAAAAAAAAAAAAAAAAAAATGTGCGCCAAATCTGCATGCTGTCGAAATAAAAAAAAAAAAAAAAAAAAAAAAATATCTGCCGCAGAACTTTAAGATTGTCAAAAAAAAAAAAAAAAAAAACAATAATGTCAAGAGTATAAAATTATCTTTAAAAAAAAAAAAAAAAAAAATTGAAGCTAACGCAATGAGACATTTGTGCGAAAAAAAAAAAAAAAAAAACCGAAATACCGAAATAAACGGAAAGATATTGAAAAAAAAAAAAAAAAAAAGGACTTTCAGTTTGGGAAATGAAAGGAACTCAAAAAAAAAAAAAAAAAAAACAATATATAATTAGCCTTTCACATTTTGCAAAAAAAAAAAAAAAAAAAAGCAAACCTAATAGACAGTTGTGCGCCATTGAAAAAAAAAAAAAAAAAAAAAAAAGGAAAGAATGTCGTCGAAATAAAAGGAAAGATATTGTGGGAAAATGTCTGCTGAACGACTTTTTCAGTTTGGGAAATGAAAGGAACTTAATGACACAAATAAAAAAAAAAAAAAAAAAAAAGCCTTCCACATTTTACTGAGAAACAAATATAAAAAAAAAAAAAAAAAAAAGTGCGCCAGTGAATCTGCATTTCGTCCATAAAAAAAAAAAAAAAAAAAATCTACAGCAGGACTTTAAGTTTGGGAAAATAAAAAAAAAAAAAAAAAAAAAAATGAGCGAGATAAGATGAGCCTTTCAAGTTTGAGGGAGAAAATAAAATAGACATTTGTAAGTCACTGAATCTGTATGAGATGAAATGCTCAATAATCCAGTTTCGAATTCTCCAATGCTCTGTGTTAGCAAAAAAAAAAAAAAAAAAATTCCTTAGTTGTGAGCGTAAAAGTGTGAGATAAAAAAAAAAAAAAAAAAACTTTCKTCACAAATTCCATGCGTTTTCTCGAAAAAAAAAAAAAAAAAAAAAATATGTTACTTGGTTTTGAGGCTAACAGAGAAAAAAAAAAAAAAAAAAAGGAGTATTATCTGATGTTGAACTGGCGACAAAAAAAAAAAAAAAAAAAAAACCACCTCGAACTGCAGAAGACTGACTTTCTAAAAAAAAAAAAAAAAAAACGACAACATAAGTGGCTCTTGAAATTTTGTTCAATTTGGAAGGAAAAAGATAGCATGAAACCAATAGCTATTTTTTAACCTAAAAAAAAAAAAAAAAAAATAGGCAGGCGACCAACGTCACTCAGATCGCTTAGTTTTGTGTTGCAATAGTGTAATATTTGTTAAAATCGTAATAAAGTTGAAAAAAAAAAAAAAAAAAAGGTGTTGATCGACGTGAAAATTACCTGAAAAAAAAAAAAAAAAAAAAAAATATCGATGATTATATTGCAATATTTGCTAAAAAAAAAAAAAAAAAAAAAATATTGCGAAATAGCCTTCGAGGTCTGGAATCAAAAAAAAAAAAAAAAAAACAGATTGGTGAACACTAATTCCTTTAAATAAAAAAAAAAAAAAAAAAAAACGGTACATTTTCTTCAATATACTTCTAATGTAAAAAAAAAAAAAAAAAAATGTATTATATAAATTAAGCTCAGTCCTACCAAAAAAAAAAAAAAAAAAAAACTCCTGGGAGTGTTGCGAATCTTACTGGAAAAAAAAAAAAAAAAAAAAATTTTAACAACTTTGTTTCCGTGGTAGCATTTAAAAAAAAAAAAAAAAAAATTTTACATTATAAGAGTCTTTTTAAGATTCGAAAAAAAAAAAAAAAAAAATTTATGTTGTAATTAAATTATAGGGAAGGATAAAAAAAAAAAAAAAAAAAATATATAGCAGATCAAATGTTATTGTCATTGTATTAATTTTTTCAGTTGGTAATTGAAGTCGGAGAGTCTTGTAAAAAATTAAAAAAAAAAAAAAAAAAATATGCCAATGACTTTGTTGATGTATTCAAGTAAAAAAAAAAAAAAAAAAATAACAAATAAAAATATAAAAGTCCGACAATGAAAAAAAAAAAAAAAAAAAAAAATCCATTAGATGCTTAAAAAATATTTTCAAAAAAAAAAAAAAAAAAATTAAAAAAATACAAAAAAATAAAGATTGCTAAAAAAAAAAAAAAAAAAAATCCAAAAATATTAATAGAATAAACAAACGTTAAAAAAAAAAAAAAAAAAAATCAGGCTGTTGTCTTTATGYYTTTTACTTGAAAAAAAAAAAAAAAAAAACTAAMTTTTAGTTCAAATTCCACTGTTTCAAAAAAAAAAAAAAAAAAAAAGWAATAATTTCAGGAAAGACGATTCGTTTCTTTGAAACAGAAAAGATTGATTCACATATCCAATTCGTTTATATAAAAAAAAAAAAAAAAAAAAAAAAAAAAACTAATCCATAACATAACTAATATAAGAAAAAAAAAAAAAAAAAAAAAATGTGAAACAAAGAAGCAATCCAAAACAAGTAAAAAAAAAAAAAAAAAAACCAAGAAATATGATCATATCACTTGACGCCATTGTTGCCGTTTTTTTATTGAAGCATCTGAGCGTGATCCTTTCKTATATCAAAAAAAAAAAAAAAAAAACTGGAAAGTAAGATAGTGTATAAATTATTAAAAAAAAAAAAAAAAAAAAAGAAGCAGTGAGCGAAGAATCATCAAGATGATGAGTCAGGAGAAGAAATAGAAATTTGCTGTCAATAACTTTAAATAGTTGAAAAAAAAAAAAAAAAAAAAATTAAAAAAAAAGAACATGCAGAGTGCTTACAAAAAAAAAAAAAAAAAAATCACAAAGATCCTGCATTGCACAAATATTACAAAAAAAAAAAAAAAAAAAGATAGAAGAGTTTTTACACAATGGTAAAACAAAAAAAAAAAAAAAAAAAAATCAAGGGCCACCTTAATGATTTTTCCAGTGGAGTGGGCGAATATTTATCTCGATAACCGCACTTCTACTTCCCATGGGTCAAAAAAAAAAAAAAAAAAAGCAATTGAAGTCTTTTGGACAGTGTAAATTGAAAAAAAAAAAAAAAAAAAAAAAACGGCTAGTTACATTAACATATTTATTAAAAAAAAAAAAAAAAAAAATCTCGCGCTTTAAAGGTTGTAAATTTGATGAAAAAAAAAAAAAAAAAAATGTAATGGAAATCATTTTCATCAAATTTACAAAAAAAAAAAAAAAAAAAACATATTTACATATCAAATTAGCCAATTGGAGAAAAAAAAAAAAAAAAAAAAGACTTCTATCAAGAAAACGAAAGCTCTTTCAAAAAAAAAAAAAAAAAAAAGTATTGTTTCTTCTTCTTCGATAATTGTAGAAAAAAAAAAAAAAAAAAAAATTAATGAGTGATTGACTGATGAATGACTCAAAAAAAAAAAAAAAAAAAGGATAGCCAAGGGATTAAATTTGATAATGAAAAAAAAAAAAAAA